CAGGAATGCACCTGATGACCAAAGCCCGCTCACACAGGGTATCTCCGTGGGCACATTATTGTGGTTATTCAGGGCAGAGATGCAAAGAAGGGGAAGATCCTCTCTTTCATGCTCTCCTGGCTTCCTGTAAAATGAAAGTCTCACATCCCACATGATTAACCACGTGATCTATTGTTCATGTGTAAAGTTGAAAACAGCTCATGTCTCAGATATCAGCTATTACAAACTTTGTCCAAACGTAACACCACTTCAGTGAACTGTCAAGCACAAGAGTTCCCTGTTGCTTCCTGTAGCTCAACAAAGGCAAGACAGTGGAAAGAGCATCGACATCCTCTATCCAAAACATAATAAAAGCAGTTTGAGGATGTATGTTATGGTGGAGATATACCTTTATAGGCCAAATCTGTATGCAGATTAGTCTTCCCCAACATATTGCAAGAATAGCTGATATCATAGATCTCCTTATAGCACGAGCAGCAAATCTAGCTGACATCTGGTTTTGCTTCTTGCATAACAACATCCCACTGGATGATAAGGGACTTGATTGCATCTACATTTTAGATGTTATGCTTTACTAAAGCTGATTCAGAATTAACTGATCGCATCAAATGTACCTTATTACTATTAAATGAAAATCTGTGCATCTTTTTCTGCTTGTGTTTTGTTTGTGGTTTGTTTTTGTTTGTTTTTTGTTTTTTGTTTTTTAAAAAAATGCATTTAGGTACTGTTGCTGAGCATATTGAAAGAATCTATAGACGAGCTGGCACCAAAAAGCTCTGGTTTGTATCATGTTCCTTTTGTTTTACACAGATTTATTTTTTTTCTAATCTGCTTTATAGAGAGTAAAGTCGGATCCTTACACAGTTAAAGGGAGGAAAAAAGGACAGCTTTACTAACAGAATTTTATTGGTTCATTGCAGCTGAAGATCAGGTCTAGAATGCTTTAAAAAAAACCTACGTAGTATTTTCTTACTGTTACCACTTAAAATATAGAAGGTTGATAAACTGGTTTTTCTATGAGAGCTATTACCAATGTACAGTGCTCCTTAAATTCAAATAATAAGAAAAGAATGCTAATATTCTTATGGTTTACAGGGCATGATAAAATATTATCAGTAGCTTTCTGTAGCAGGGGTGGTGGTCAAATAGAAATCAGTTAAGTTGATACCCTTACACAGTTTATTTATTGCCCCAAAATAATCTGCTTTGTCACAGTAACTTTAGAAGGTTGGTCATTTAAAAGGTTTCAGAAAGTAGGTTGGTATTGATGTGTTGTTGATTATTTCCATTGCCCCAAAGCTCAGTAGAAATTTCATTTCTTCTTATCGAAGAAATGAGTTGAGTCTGAATTCTGTTCTCTTGCTCTGTAACTATTCCTAACAGATGAGTCTGTAAATATAAAAATCTGTTCATACAGTTAAATGGGCCCTTGACAAAAATCAGGTAGAACCAAAATACCTTGGTGGTATTTTTGTAAGTAATAAAAAAAAAAAAAGTCTTTTTAGAAGCAAAATATGTAAACTGTTTTTCATTTCTCTTCCATGATTGCCATGTGACATACATATAGGTTGGTGTTGCGCTACAGTGCTGCATTTGCACAGAAATTTTCTTCTTCTATAGCCCCACATATTACTACTTTACTGGTACATGGGAAACAGGTAAAGTGCCCAAAAGTCTGAAATGGAGCTCCGTGAATTTTTTTTTTCTTATTTGCATTTTGATGGTATCAGCTAATGCATTTTTGAAATGCTTTGCTCTTGATCTTAAGAAGTGCGTAGCAGTTTTCACAGGAATCAACGTCAACTGTTTGAACTTTTTACTAACACTGTAGAATATTACAAGTTGTTCATTATCTCTGTGTATAAATGGTTTTTATTAGCCTCAAAGCCTGTGCTAGAAAAGCTCAAATATGGGTCTATTAGGTTTGTGTTTTGTCAGGCAATTCTTATTAAAAGTATTTATATCTTTAACCATCAACTGGATATATGAACAAATGTTTTCCTTAGAAGTTACAGCTAGTTTTTAACCTAGCACAAGTCTCCTCTTTTCATGCTACACATGTGAATTATTACCTGATCGTGGAAAAAAAACCAAAGCCTTGGTGGTGTACTTCCTCTTGCAAAATCTTTCTAACTCCTCCTTAAATAGACTAAAAAATTACCAGGGCTATCTTGCAAAATGATGAAAATACCACAAAAGAGAAGCTGGCATCTCTTACCTCTGTGTTTTCAAGATGATGCTGAGAATGACTGACAAGCTTTTTATGGAGCTGGTAGTTTAATGAATTCTAACTAAATTTATTTTTAAGCCATTAACCTGTATCTAGACTAAAAAATGAAAATACACAGAAGATTACATAAAATCTGATCTGAATTCTGCTTTATAAATAATGTACATATTTACTGAGTTAGTTTTGAGATCTCTGCTGTGGCAGACTTCAAACTTAGCTGTGAATTCATTAAACTAGCTTGTGATACGTAGTGGGATTGCTCTGTTTTCTGCCCTTAGGTCTGTTGTGCGCTTCGCAGCAAGTCTTTTAGGTAAACTAGTGGACAGCCTTGCACCATCTATTACTAATGTGTTAGTTCAGGGCAAGCAGGTAAGTCTTCACTCCTCAGAAATGTATTAAGGAATGATAACAAAGAAACTAAATACATGGGCTTGTTAATTTTGAAGGCCTCCGTTGCTTCTTTTAAAAGTACCCAACGGCTTAAAAAATCCTTACTGAAGAAGAAAAATCCAGATAAAATAAAGATAGACTTAATACTTGCATATACTATGGACTGACACATTCAGTTTTATTTAATGACAGAACAATACTGAAAAGACAGTTCAGTGTCTAGATAAAAAGGGAAGAGTAATGATTTACATAACTCCTTAAATTTTGTATGTATGCCTTCTTATTTCACAGAAGTACATGGAGTCAAGTAATACGGCTTCTTTTTAAGACTTACTTAAGATACAGCCACCCTCTCTGTAATTGAGCATGAGAAAAGAGATGGGTGGCAAAAGTCTTTGAAGATTTTACTTCTGTGTTCCAAACAAAGTTTATCATCAGTGTTTCTTCCTTTGCTAAGGAAGACTTTTTTTTTTCTCCTAGCACAAAAATTTTAATTAAGTTCATGAAGAGCTGCTTCCAAATAATAATAATAATTGAATACTATCTATTTTTCTGTTAACATATGCATAAACTTACCTCTCTGCAGTGTTGTTATGACAAAATTGTCTTTGTCTGACTCCACACTGAGGTCTGGGCATGTGCTGCTGGTGCTACACAGCGATAGGGGAAGCTACACCTGCATGCAGCATGATTTGGAGCTGGGTTTTTTCAGCTTTTTTAACCTAACTTGCCTTCCCTGATCCCTTTATAAAATAATGATCTTTACTGTAGGAGAAAAATTAGTGTTGCTGTGTTTACTGACAGTACATCAAAAGCAAATCAGAATTTAAACAAAATTCCTTTTCTGTGGTTAAACAATCCAGTACCAGCAATATATTTTTTTTTCTAAATGAAGGCTATAACTTTAGGATTCTATTAGAATTAAGAAAACAAAACTATGAATTTAAATCTGAATTTTAAGTGACCTCCACAGCTGAAATGTCAGAAATTAAAGACAATCTAAACCTTGTGTATAGGCGTGATTATACAGCCAGTTTTGAGACCAAAGCCATGGTCTTGTATTTTTATTTTCATTTGGAAAAATATATTACATATTTGCTGTGGTCTTTAGTGAATTTCATAATTTTTAATAGCGTCCAACTAACCGTATTAACAAGCATCAGTCATCAGTATAAAACTATAGAGTTCATGAAGTTTGATTTCTGAATTGCTTCTACGATGCTTTTATTTCTGTCCATATCTTCTGAATTGTTTTCAATGTACCATAGGTGACACTTGGAGCTTTTGGCCAAGAGGAAGAAGTTATTTCTAATCCCTTATCGCCAGGAGTGATTAAGAACATCATCTATGAAAAATGTCGTTTACAAGATGAAAGAGAAGCTGTAGTGCAGCAGGAACTCGTCATACATATTGGCTGGATCATCTCAAATTCACCTGAACTTTTCAGGGGAATGCTGAAAATACGGATTGGGTCAGTAAAGTAGCTGCTGTTGTTCTTCCTACTAGTATTGAGGGGGAGCGTGCATGCTTTAACAGAGATTGTTACTACATTGCAAAAGTGGTTTATGTAAGATGATGCAGCAAAACTTATATACTGCAATTTGACATTTCTAGGAATCCTGCTTTAAATCAGTGTACCAAAAGCAGGTACACAACTGATCTCAAATTTGCCAGTCAGCAGCATGAAGTGAAGGAGGGGCAGACCTTGTAATGGCCCATTTGAAGCTTTCCTACAGCTAATACAGGGAACTATAGGATTTTTCAAAGCTTGATCCCTATCATGTTAGGACTTCAAACCCAAAAACAGTCTAGAGGGGTTAGAAGCATTCTGTACAGCAAACGAGCAGTGGGCAGAACATCCTGCCTGACTCCGCTGGTGGCCACTGAGGCAGTCACCAGCTCAGACACTGTGAGCCTACGCTGTCACTACAGTGGCTGAAGGAGCTCTGCTTCAGAATGCAACTGGCCTCATGTCTGTACCAGAAATAACAAAGTATGAGCTCGTGTGTGTGAGGGGTGATCCTGAGCCAGTATCCTACCTGGGCAGCAGACATACAGCACACAGGGTGCCATCCAGAGCTTCCCAGTTGCAGAGTGGGTAGAAAGTCTGCTCACAGCTTGCTCTCCATGCAGTGGCAGCAAGGCAAGCTCTACAGAAATCTTTTTATCATGTCCTAGGTATGGATGTGCTGCACATACCTAAGGCTGGTAACTGGCATCAGTTTAATAACTGGTAAATGTGATGTGGACATGGACTCCTAGGAGCACAATGGCTCCTGGATGAAGCCTTTAAAAGCTTTTTGCTCACTTGATAGTCACCTATGTCATGTCATAGGCAAATGGGTAAGGGACAGAGACTGCATAAATTTGATTTTCTTCTGAAACCACACCATTCTCCTCCAAGTCAACATATGCTTCTAGTTACATTTGCTGGTTTCCAGTAAGTGCTCAACTCATAATATAGCATAATATCAGTCTTAAAAATCTGGCAACCCTGAGCAACAAATCCTTGGAAATGGTGTTTCAAGGTACTTAAACTATTTCTTTTCAGAGTTTCAGCATAATAATCTGCCTAAAAAGATAGCTTGTTCTTTTAGATTGTTGTCTGTAATGGGGACTTCAAGTAACAAAGCTTTCTGCAGTTCAACTGTATTTACCGTTACAGCTTTTCCTAAAATATTTTGAGGCACCAAGGTATACTTCTGATGCTCAGTGAATCTGAACATCTGGCATCTGGCTTAACAAAGACATTGCTCAAGAGCAGTTCTCTATACTAAAAAACTTAATTGCCATGGTAAAGAAAAACCTGATTTGTCCTTTATTGTGAAAACTTTGTTCTTCACACCCACCCCCCCAGCTGAGTAGTACCCTGGTACAGACACACCAAATACTTCTTGACTGTTCATCAGCTACATAGTTGTTCAATTCTGTACTAAGTGGGTTAGGTGAAGCTATGTATAGCTTAGCAATCACAAACTTGAAACAAGTTTAAAACATCTTTTACCTGCTGGATTGCTTTCTTTAGTGCTTTGATAAGGTGACCTACAAATAGTCTGTGCTGGAGTGTTATCATATTCCATGGTGTCTGCATTTACTTTGCTATCTGCAGAAATTAATTATTGTTTCACATTTAGGAAGAGACAGATACATTTGAATAAGCACTTCTCTGAAGAAGCCAGGTGCTGCTGACTGAGATTTACAGAATTAGTGAGCATGATTTAAAATTAGAACTGAAGCCGTTCTATCCTCCATATTTTTTCATAGAGAAAATACAGCTTTTCAGCACTGGAGGTAGATACCAGCAGTCTTTTATCTATCACACAAGATTCATGCTTCCACTTTAGCAGTGCATTCCAGTCATCATGAGAACAAAAACTTTTCAAATCACTTGTATTACATTCAACTGCAAGTAAATCTCTCCTTTTGCACTTAAATACCTTTTCTGTACCCTCTACAGAGCCACGTTACTCCTCTGTCCTCCTCTTCCTCATTCTCTGTAGCTAATCCATGTTGATTTTTTTTTCTTTCTACCAAGGCCAATGCTAGAGATTCCGTTTCCTTTATTTCTGGGTTATCACCCACTCCAGTGAGTAAAATTAAGCTTCTTGAAGGAACACCATCAGTTTGATAATGATATGAGTGAGTGTCTTGTTACTGATTTGTTTTCAGGGTTTCATGTGGAAACAGATCAAGGTCCTGACAGCCCTATTACTGTAGAAACCTCCAACCAACTGACTTTTACCTGCCTCCTAGCAGTGAAGAGTAGGAGGTCCGCTCTTGACTTTGCTATGTTTTGTAGGCCACTGCAAAGAGAAAACACCAGTGAATGACTTTCACACAGGTAGATCTGAGTCATCAGTGAAAAAAGAACCAATTCTGAAGCCAGTTGTTTGTTACCTTAGTATCGAGAGAAGGACACTATTCACCCACTAAAATAAGTCTTAAGTAATGTGTTCTGGATAACATAATATGTCCATGTTGCCTTGTATATATTCTCTTGAATCTTGCACCTTAAATGAATGGTCCTAGAAACCTCAAAATTAAAGCAACGTTCAATCAGTTGGCCTGACATCTCAGAATGTCTAACTGTGTAGTTACTAAGAATCTTTCAGGAAAGATTGTGACTTGACTTACATAAACTGGAACAGTCTGTACCTTCTAGGTGAAATCAGTAAATGTCTGTGGAATGTGGCTATAGTGATGACAAAGTAACTCTTGGGAATACTCTGCGTTTTCTGATAAACGATTCTGATAAAGAGTAAAGCTCTTTGATGTACCCCAGACTTGATCAGGTGTGGTATGATAGACTGTTTGGCAAAAAACTAGTTAAGTTTCTTTTCCCTTTTAATAGTAATACCTACTTGAACTACAGCAATGTAGATGGTAAGAGAGTGAGCTCCATGCTCAGTTACCTTGTTTCACATGTGTCTATACATGATTTCATCTTTGATGTTATATTAGAGGCTCTAGCACTGTTTTTATATAACGTGCAGAATAAAATTCAGCATTCTTCTTCAATAATTTGCAAAGTTCTGCCTCTCTCATACCTAAGGCTGAAAGATCTTCACTGTTGCCATATTTTTATTTAATCAAATCTTTTCAGAAGGGAGTAGCAAAAGAGAGAAAGTGGTTTAGACTGCAAAAAGGAATTTCAAAGGCTAAAACTATAAATAAGCCCTGAAGTATTTTTAAATGGAAAAATAATTCAATTTTTATGGCTTTTTAAAAACTCATCAGCAAAATGCATATACTGTCAGAGCACAATTTTGAGTAGGAATTTTAACATCAAAAGGCAGGTAAGTTTGTCTTAACAAATGTAGAATGTAGGGGAACATGTGGTCAAATATATTTTCCCTATGAAAAGCACACTTTATAACCCGTTTCTTAAAAATCTATGCATTATCTCTTTCAGTTTATATTTATACTGCAAACAAACACAAAATCTGAATAAATTCCACAATACAGTAAAAGTAGTAGAGTATTTGTTTGATATTTTATGTATGTCCTGACAGCCAAATAGCAGGATCGTGTGGAATTCTTATGAGCTATTTTATCTGACTAATTTTTCATCTTCGGAAACTTTGTATTTAATTAATAAGTATTTTCCTCCCTTTACTTCAGATGGATTATCCATGCTATGAAGTATGAATTGAAAATCCGTGCTGGGGATATGCCAGCCAAGGACTTATACCAGATGTCCCCTAGTGAAGTGAAGCAGCTTCTGCTGGATATTCTTCAGCCGCAGCAGCAGGGGAGGTAATGAGATGTGTGGGTTTGTGACACCTGTTTTCATAATAGGCTGTTCAAGTAATCTTCATTTCTGAAATACTTTGTATACACCTGAAATCAATAATACACTCATTTAAGGAAAGGTAGCAAAAATGCACTTTTTCATTCTTTCAACTGTGTCCAGGTTCTACAATTGTTTCTTTTATATTGCAGCTTTCCTTTTCAGCTTTATCTTTGGGGAAGTCCTACTCTATAGCATTAAGTTCTACACTTTGGCAGTAGTGTGCCTAAAATTACTCAAGGCCGTCTACTGAAGTAACTTGCAAGAGCAGTTTGTCTGCTGTTCAGTGCCCTCTTTCTTCTGCCTTATTATATGAATTAAGAACAGATGTTCTTGAGTTCTCAGGAGGTAGCAGTGGAATCTTTTCTCCATGCTGTAGCTAGCTGCCAAAACAGCATTCATTGTGATACAAAGTGTGCAAGACAAAAGTTAAAAATACAATATTTCCACTTAACTATTTTGATAAGAGTGAAGTCAAAAATCCTCCTGTAGGCTTTACTTCTAGTTAAGTTTGATTAAACTTTGGCACATAGTGCTGATACTTTCTGTAGTCCTTGACGGAATGGACGATGGCCTTTTCTCTCAACAGAGAGGAAATATACCTCATGTCTTACTACTTATGTTCCTGCTTAATTCAAAACATACTCTGTTTTTTTCCCCAGTCTATAATGTCTGAGAAACAAGCTCCTTCAATCTGTGTCTGTGCTCTCTTACCTGATTTGTGAGATGTAGTGTCTCTCAGTCCAGCTGACACTGTACTCCCTGTATCCCACCTGCTTTTCAGTGTCTTGGTTGTGGTTATCAATGCTTGCTGTTTAGTTGCTGTCTCTGCTTAACTTGATGTTGACATGATTCCTCTAAAACCTTAGCAGAAACAACTCTAGGTTTCTCTTTGCAGCATTTTCCATTATGATATTAGGCTATTTAGGAAACAACATGGCCAATCAATATAAGCAATTCAAGCAGCATCCTTCATTAGAGTTCTTACCCAAGTTGTCACAGTGCCTTCTGCTTCTGATTCCTTTAACATACGATAGCTGGATCAGCGAAGAGAACTCTGCTTCATTTTCTGTGGATGAAGATTCTTTTTTGGAGGTTATCTGTGTACGAAATCTAGCCAGCATCTCCTTTAAAACTTCCTGTCTTTAACTTCTTCCTGTACACTATTACTAGCTTGTTTTTCCTTACCCATTAGTGACTTTGTTTTAGAAGTTCTCTTCCTGCCAGGAATTACAGAACAGTCTCCTTGCATCTTCTTTCTCTGACAGTTTTCCCTACTGTTGTGATTTTTAGAAAAAATCTCTGCTACTGTGATAAATCACTGCCAATTAATGTGTCATACATGAAGGGCTTGTGGTGGTGTTCCTTCCGTAACAGTATCTCCACAACTAACACCTCTCCAAGTTTTCACAGAGGGTAACAATTTTGCAATTTTCCTACCTCTTACACTGGACTCCAGAGTATTATAACACACATACAAACATATATATATTTATCTATCCTATATATATGTATATGTTACTGAAAGAGTGCAGACTTCCAGAGATACTCTGTTTATGTAGGTCACAAGATTGTAAGTAGCCTTTTTAAAATGGAGCATTATTCTTTTATTGGTCCAAACAGTTATAAACTCATTTAGCTCATACAGTTTACGGGATTCTCTTTCTTACCATAGTAATTTAGATAGATCGGAGTATTTCTGGGATCTGCAAGTGCTTGCTTCTTTGCATTAACAAAACAACCTTTTCTTTCTATCACAACCTCTTTTTGTTTTTATGACTGTTTTCTTGTCCTAGTCCAAGGACAGAGCTGTGCAGAGCATGAGATGGAACTGTCATAGCAGGCACAAGTTTTGGCAGTTAAGTGTCTTATTGAGAAGTGATTTATGACATAATTTTTCTTAATTTCTCATGTTAATCTAGCACAGTTATACAGGTAAAAATGCTGCATATTGGCTTGGTGCTAGCAGTGGAAAGTAATTAAAGTCAATAGTAAGTCAGTGACAGATATTTAATCAGAAGTGCTTTAAAGCCTTGACTTTAAATATCTTCATTCTCATAAAGCACATGCCAACTATATAGAGTTGAAATCTGTTCAGAACATGCACCACTTAATATTATCTTTTTTCTTTTTAAAAATAAAAAACCCTCAAAATCTCAAAAAACAACACACTGTTGCTTAGTCTTCTAGTGGAGTTGGGAGCTACACTAAAAAACTTAAGAAAAGTGCAAGAACACCCATGGAGTTGTCTGAATTAGAGTTCTCTTTTCTGATCCAGTCTCAGAAGGAGTTCTCACCATTTGTCAAACGTGTGTGGTACTGCTGCACAAGACGTAATTCTGTACTGTGAATCCACTAATGAAAATCATACCCATGACTGCCACTTCCATTGCTGGTATCTCAAACATTTTGTCTAAAGCCTCAATCCTGTAGTAATCCTGAGAAGGAAAAATACAAAATTTAAATTCCAGACTTCTGGTTGTAAGTAAAAAAAGTTTGGGGCAGTATGCTTCTGAAGGCAAACAAAGTTTGTAATTTATGGATCATGTAACTCAGTTTGTTCAAAGCTTTAGTTTAACAAATACATCCTGTTAAATTTTCTGAACTTACAGCCCACTTGTTTTTCTCCACACCATCATAAAAAATCCTACCTTCAGCAATACTGCTGAAATGCATTTTTCTAACCTTGTATTTAAATTAGAATTACAGATGTTTCTAATCCATTATCCATTACATCTTATATTTTATAGATGCAGAAATTAATTGAGCTGCATTTTTATATATATGATTGTTTTACCTATTGTAGTATGATAAAACAAATTTTAATATAGTTAATACTGAGGAGTTTTTTCAGTGTTTATAAATTTCGCTGTGAGATACTACACAATGACTTCTGTTTTATGTATGTTTTAGTTTATGGTGACTTAAATTGATTGGACATGATGAATTCAGCCTGTTACTGTACTGCACTGGATAGATTTCACGGTTAATTCCTTTGCTCCAGTCACATAAAGCACAAACACACACATAAGAATAGCAGTCTAACTCCTCCCAACCTTCTGAGCATCTTGATTTTGTTTGTCTTAGAGCATAACTTACCAGAAAGCACAACGTGTACTGCACATGCATCATTAATACGTATTTGCTGTCACTCCCCTCACTGACTTACACCACAGAACATGGCTTGGTTCTGCATCTGGAACAGGTTTTCACTTCAAATTCTCAATCTTTTTTGTCCACAGAAGCTGGCTCAACAGAAGACAGATCGACGGCTCCCTCAACCGCACTCCCGCTGGGTTCTACGATCGGGTGTGGCAGATCTTGGAGAGAACCCCCAATGGTTTGATAGTGGCGGGGAAATTTTTACCACAGGTAAAACCAGCACAGTTGCTCAGTTATTTCTGCTCTACCTCACTATTAATGGTGAATTATTTTATTGTTAATGTCTACTAATTATTACTTAAGGTAATTTGTTTCTATTACTATTTTAATAAAAAGGTTTCTTTTTCGTTTCTTTTTGGTTCTGAGTAAAACAGAATTAGAAAAAACAGTTATTTTTATTAAAACACATTTATAAAAGCGTAAGTCTAGAAGCCATGGGCTGCTTCCGTTTTGATCCTACAGTGGTCATATTTCTTAGTTAAGTATTATTTATTCAACAAGCGCATAGGCTCTACCTGGGGGTGGTTTTGATTTAATGCAATTTGTCTTTGAGTAAAAGAATTATTTGTTTTTCAGCAACCAACCTTATCAGATATGACGATGTATGAAATGAATTTTTCCCTTCTTGTTGAAGATATGCTGCAAAATATCGACCAGCCGGAATATAGACAAATTATTGTTGAGGTCTGTGGCCTACAATGAATTAAATTTTATCATGTACATGAGTATGTTACAGCTTAAAAGAAAAAAAGTAACTGAGGCTCAAATATTTGAAGAAATACCATTTTAAATATAAGCACTTGCTTCAGTAGTTTCACCATAGATTTTGTATGATTAAACAAGTTCTTGTTAACAAGTTCTTGATGTTCTTCCCTTTTAGCAAATAGATAAATATTAATGACAGTGCCAATACAATTAGGTCACAGGAGATGAAAACTAGTACGAAGAATAATTCCAAAGTCGCTTTCCTTCAAATCCCCAGCCCATGCCTTTTCCTAGGAATTTGCTTGGTCTAAGGAAAAAACGCTCTAAAATACCAGTTTGCCCTGCAATAGGTTCTTATTTCCCATTTTGCTGAGGCTGTCTGGTAATTTGCTTTATGCTACTGAATCACCTAACTTCCAGTTTCCTTATGTTCCTGTACCTAACAATAAGGCAAGAGGCTGTGTAAACTCCTTCCCTGCCACTGCACATAATGTACAGTTTTTGAACAGATCAAAAGCATCGGCACCCTTGGTAACTGACATCCATGCTGTCGGCAGCATTCACTGTTAGTGCCCAAGTGTGTGCCTCTGGTGCTTGTGAGCATTTCTCCACAGTCAAATCAAATCCATCTTGACTCTGGCTGACATTCTATGGTCATGCTGCTTGCTTGAACATCCCAAATTTTTGCTAATTATCAAAGCCCAAGATGACCAGTACTGCCCACTTGTAGTTATTACAACATGTCACCATCATGTTCACCTTCCTAGTTTGAACCTCTTTAAGATAGAAAGAATGTAAATTCTCTTGAACTGAGACTTTTTATGGGTGACTATTGACTTCGTTTTTATAAATTTTGTTATAGTATCATATCAATCCTATATGTGATTATGCCTCAAAATGTCAGATGCTGAAGTTCAGTGTTTGTGAGTGCTTTTCACCCTCTCCGATGAGCATCAGCATTTGTGCAGCCACACAGTGAACTGAATAAGCTGGAAAACAACTTCCCTGGCTCCCAGCAAAGTTAGATATTGGTGTCAATCATTTACACAGTACCCTTAACTACGTAGTCACCAGAAATTGTAACCTTTCCTAAAAGCCTGCTTTTTCAGTGAGAGTCAGAATTCAAGTCAGAATTCTGTTATCTGCGCATTATTATCTGTGCCACTGTTAAGTGGCTTCCTGCTTGAAAGAGGCATATGCAATTAGTAATAGTGCTTTTATGTAACCTGAATTTTAACAAACCAAGTTTAAAGCCTTACAGTCTTTTTCTACCTTCTAGTTGTTGATGGTTATATCTGTTATTTTGGAGAGAAATCCTGAACTAGAGTTCCAGGACAAAGTGGACTTGGACAAAGTGGTACAAGAAGCGTTTCATGACTTTCAGAAAGATCACAGCGGTCTAAAGGGAGCTGAAAATCAAGTGAGTAAAATACTACTGCCTTACAGAATTTACCATTCTTATTGAGGTTAGTTATAATTGTCTTATTGAAGTTCGTTATAAATTTAATTCTGTGCAGTTCAGAATAAAAAGCAAATGCAAAACAAATAATAAATGAATATACCCAAGTGCTGCATAAGTCTGCAAGGAGCCTATAAGCAGAAATAAAAGATGCACACTTACTTTATTGCTGAATTATGCGTTCAAACTGGTATGGTACGGAGAACACTCACAATGTTACATAGTGCTGAAATAGATATAATACTCATTAAAGGGGAAAGAATTTACTAGGGGGAACACTAGAATAAAGAAGAGTTAAGAATAACAAAAAAGAGGAAAAACTAAAGCTTACAGAGGAAGTCTGAACTTAGGATCTTATGTACACAGATACTAAGAAAAAATTAATAACTAAAGAACTCATCTTGACAATACTAACACAAGAACTTAAAACGTGAAACTGTTCTTGGGTACTGATTTTTGTGCTTGAGTTGCATTGATGACTTAGCAAGCTTGTAATCTCTGAAATCGTGTAATAAAGCCAGGTTCATTGAACAGGCTGAAGGAGGAAATATGAGTGAAGCAGTGGGATAAGGCCCTGTGCTACTGAGGATGACCTTCCTCACTGCACCTGGCATTGTATTGTGCATGATATATTCAGAGATATCTGTGCCAGCTCTGATTAATCCATTGATTAATAACATATTGACAGGCAACAGCACTTCCTGTTGCTGAATTTAGCTTCTTTCAAAGATGAGGAAGGATGTGCTCTGTAAGAATTCTTTCAAAAGTTTCAAGGTTCACTTTTTTCCCACTTCTTTTTTTGTAAGAAGATTTGGAAGCAAGCCAGATATCCAGGCTTAGCAATGTGTCACCTGGCACAATACCTTTGTTTTTGAAAGGACACAATTTTCTTGAAATTATTATTCTCTTGGTCTGCTCATTTGACTCTGTGGTTGCAGCCATAGGAAAATCGGACTTATCATCCACAGAAATGGCTTTTAAGTGCCAGCTCTGCACAGTATCTTGAATATGCTGGTGACTTTTGTGACAAGCTGGAGATCCCCAGATGCAATAAACAGAAAGAAAAATCCCATGCAAAAAGTTTTTACTGATGCTGCCCTAGCATCCATTAAAGTGATGGGTATTTTTTTTTCTAAGCCCAGATCTACTTAGAATGATCCCTTTTTATCTCCTAGAAGGAAATCCCCATTTATAGTTGTGAATACTATCCCCAAGATGGTTGTTGCTGGAAATTCCAGGTCCTTACACTAAAGTGTTCTGGAACCAGACACTCTGGTATTCCCAGGTGTATTCCCGTTGGCTGTTAACTGTAGCCTGTTCAGGACTGTTCTGGGGATATTCTGTCCCAAGTTTTCCTAACGAACGCCGCTAAAAGAACTCCTGATTTGTCTCAACTATGCACTTCCATTAAACTCACTTGCAATTAATTTAATCTTTGTTAATTTCTTGTTAACATGTAATACATGTCAAAAGTATTTACTCTAGTAATTTCAAACACACCCTAAAACTACGGAGTCTGATATTTTCACCACACAATCTCTGCTCTTGATTTAATAAAACAAACTGATTTCCTGAATTAGAGTTGAACTTTCACAATAGCAGCCAGTATCTAGTTTGAGATTAAGCAGATGTTTTAACATCATTAACTCTGCAAAACAGGTGTTCAGTGAAGGAAACCTATTTTGTTGATCTGATTAATGAATTAGTTCATGGGCTGCCTGTGGTTTGCTTCTTGGTTTTTTTTTTTCCAAATAAATCTTCATTCAGTACCTCCGCTCGTACACCTAAGGACCTGGCTCATAATCATACCATGGTAGCACAGTAAGTGACCACACAGTAATCATCTCGCTGCATGTTTTAAGAGAGCAGTTGTTCTCTGACACCTATTATATTTTAAAAAATACTAAGAAGGTGGTATCTGTACAGGACTGGAAATTTCAGTAGAGAAATACTTGCGACTCGTTTTAGTAATCTGTTTTCCCCATGTTCAGGTAAGTATACGTGGGAGGTTTTCTGAAAATTGAGCAGAATTCTGCTATAGTTTTAGAGTCTGGAAAACACATTTGCATTTCTGACTTATTTCTGATGTTCCTCTTGTTTGCCTGTGTTTGGCTGCTTGATGTAATGAATGCTGATGGAAACTCCTTTTTCCTCTCCTGCAGGGTGACATGACTGCGTTTTACAACACTCCCCCAACCGGGAAAAAGGGAATGTGCAGCTACTTGAGTAAGGCTGTGGTCACTTTACTGCTGGAAGGGGAAATGAAAACAAGCAGTGATGATCCTTGTACCATCAGCTGAAGCCTGAAACGCAGGCTATGTATTTCTCGCACAAACATTAAAATACTGCTTTGAGGAGTAACCCTGGCTAGTAATACAAATGCATGCTATCCTTTGCTGAAAGAAGTGCCATTAAAGATACTAAGTGCCACCAAATTTTTTTCTTTCTCGACTATGCAGCATGAAACAGCACATGAAGTTAATCCTCTGATATTTGATTAAGTTGAATGGGATTGTATTTATGATCTTAAATTATGCATTTAACATAGTTGGTAACTTCAAGAGAAAGGCACTGTGAGATTTTTGTCTTTATACCTCTATTTATGTATAATTACAAACAAGTTTATTGTAAATTCTAAAAGAAATTCATAAAATACATAATTAACATACATACCAGTCGGTGTGGAAATATGAAAATGGAATTATTTTTTATTATTCTCACATAAATTGGAGGTGAAGGTTAAATAGTTGTTATTCTTTAAAGTTTTTCTATATCACTTTGACAGCATACCTTTGGTTTGCTTGCTTTAATTTACCAGTTGATAACTTGACACGCAGGTTTCACACTAATAGAGCAACTTTTTATCTCTAGCAATAAATATCACCACAGTTTCCCAGCTGTTGTTTAAACGTCTCTAAGTTAACAAGGGAAACGTATGGTAACAAGAGAAACGTTTGGTTAAAAAAAAAAAGGGCAAACAAGCTGTATTTAGGATTAACATCAATGAAGAAAAATCTTTATATTACATAAGCTATCAGTGCATTTAAGAATTCAAGATATATTTATTTACCGCCTAAGTGTGTGCAAACAATGTATGCTATATGCTTTATTTTGGTGAAATTAATAAAAAGCAAAAGCTTGTAATAAAACCTGTCAGTAAAAATACTTTCAGTGACATGCAAAGACTCCTGCTGACTTTAGTGGCAACCTTTAACATGCTACTGGAACCCCTCTGAATGACCAGTAAAGTGCCTCTTTTAGCAGCACAAAATACACTAAATCTTCACAACTAGTCCTTAAAAAATTAATTTAATTTTGATAATTAATACTGACCAGCTCCAACTCAACACAATAAATCATTGCCATATTGATAGTCAAGGCAGTGTAACTTAGGTAGAGAGAGAGGGCAAAATGAATGGCAGTAGTGCTCCTGCTGCTCTTCCTCGCTGCAATGCATTGATCATTCAGAGAACAGCGGGCAGGGGAGACAGGGAAGGGGAATCCAGAAGAAAAACACACTGGTTACTCACTGTTGGGTACATTATTGTAGTGTGTTAGTACAGTTAATAGTCGAGTGTGGTCTGAGGGGCTGCGGCACTGCTCTAACTCCAGCTACACTTAAACAGCAGACTCAGTTGGCGGCAGTTGTAAATACTGAAAGAACCACTAGTTTAAATAGCAATCCAACGTAGCATAGAAAGAGAAACTGTGGTGAAAACAAAGAGGGTAGCAGAAAATAAATGGTAAACCAGATAGGTTTTTTTTAAAAGCCATAGTTCAAGTAATACATGGTTAATATTTAAGAAACTTGGTCCTGATTTCTTTGAAAATATTCAGCCTCAAGAGGACAAGGAAAGAGATGCACTTGGGGTTGCAGAGGTGAAACACTCAATACAGTCCCCTGCATACTTTCAAGAGCAACTGGCAATAGAGTTGCTGCAGCCACTAAAGAAATAAGTCCCAAAGGGTTCACTACTGGCTCACACCATTCAGTCCCCTGATTATACACCTTCACAGCGCTCCAGAACTTGAAAAACTATTCTGCTTGCCAGGGTAAGTAGTATCAATTCAAACAGTGGGAAAACAGTAGTTGAAACAGTGTAAAGTAAAGCTGTTAAGTAAAAGCAGGTTGTTTTTAAACACCATTTTTTCCTTCATCAGATACTCCTAAGAGTAAGATAAAATTAATTCAGCTAAGCAAACCACAGAAAAGAATTCCATTTTTCCTCTGCTATTAGAAAGAGAGGAAATGCCAACCTGCAGTGGCACCTCCTGGTGTAAATACATGACTCTCCCCTCTCTCCAACGCCAAACTCAGTTTTACCAAAACCATCATCTTCACGCTGTGGATTACTGTGGCAGTTAATAGGCGTCATGGTCACTCATCAGGCATTTCAAACTGCTCTATTCCTTGAGAGGGTTCAGAAGGTAAGACATGGCTGCACTTCAAAGCTGACTTTCTTGACATCTTTGCTGTTAGCTTTGTTGCTTTCCTCTGTATGAATTTTCAGTTTTATTTTATCTACAGATCAGTTTGTGCAACTGATACAGAACTGGTACAGAAAAGAAACAGACAACCAGATTTATTAATTTATTATTATAAATCAGTCTCTCAGAAATCCTCTTCATTACTTGCTAATCCACCACAGCAGAAAATGTAGTAAGAGATCCTGATTTGAAAGGGATCAATCCTGCAGCGTGTAATGTGATGCTATCAAAAACCTGACAGTGGGGACATTTCTCCAAATCACATTTTGTCATCGAGGTCTGTCAGCATGCAACAGGTTTGATAACAGCAAGTTTAGGATTAGTATGATAATACAGTTAGATAGCTACCATTCTGCTGTTGTAACTTGTCTCACTTTTGTTGTGGTTTTTACTGCTATTTAAAATATTTTCTTAAACTTTACACATGGAGCTTATGGCATGAAAATTCCTCAATAAATCATCAGCATTCATGACTGGTGTCCTTTTATATTTATGTACCTCCTACAGTTCTCAAGACAGTCTACCTGCTTGACCAACAGCAATTTTGAGACTTAAAATTATCCTTCTGTAAAAATGCTTTTCAGCTACATAGGTATTACAGTACTAATACCACTGGAAGACATATATTTAATGAAAAAAAAAATCAATACGGTCAGAGTATATACCTAGAGGAGTCTTTGTATGCTAGTTTGTAAGAGGAAAAAATAAATGTACCAAAAGAAGTGGGAGTAGTGGGGCAGTCAGGTGCCTAAAATATAAATTAAGAAAATACAGAGGTGCAATTAACTCCACTGAAGTCTGTATATCTCATCTCAAAATCAATCAAGAAAATGGCTTGATTGGATTTTTAGATAATTATGATCCACAAAACCTGTGCCAAACATACCCTCTTCTCCTGAAGCGTGACAGTCTTTTAAACTACCCCTAATGAACTAAGCCTTGCACCATGGGAAGAGAAAATTAAATAAGCAGGAAAAACATTTTATGCTTTGCCATAACCACAAAATGCAGCAGTGTTGAGAGGCACTGCCAAGAGCTGGAAGGAAATGTCCTGGATCACACACACTGCTCATAGCTGCTGCTGCTCCTTCACGCTCAGATGGAGAAGTCACAGGTGTGGTGAGACTGTGAGGAGAAGGCAGGACGAAAACATAGCTGGGGTCTTAACTAGAGAGAACAGAAAGGATTTCCCTCTGGTGATGTGTTTTTGTGGGTGTTTGTTTTGTAGAAATGGATTAAGGCAGCTGTATTCATTTACCTATGTAACACTCTGTAGGTACTTTTTCCACCTGAGCATTTCTGTTCCTTTTGAACATCAGCAAGAGCTGGCACGAAAACAAATGTAAAAACATCAGATATAAGAAATGAGATCTACTTGTGACGGGTCTTCCCTGAATCAGAAAGACTCTCCTAAAGGATTTACAAGAGTTGCATTCTGTAAAAGCTCGTGTTTCTCACAAGGGAAGGGCAAGAGGGACAAAACAACTTCCCGTGGCTTCACCCAAATACAAACAAGGTTAACCTTGCCTCAGCTTGATCCCATGGGCAAGTGGCACACGGCTTAGGCAGCCCCTTGGGAATGCCACTCACTGGTGCTTTTAGTGAGGAAGCTGAGGCCAAACAGAGGGGAAAAAAAAGGGTGACATCACACATAGGAAGAATAAAACATGTAGGAACCATTTCTTATCCAACTTTTGCATCAGTGAAACCATCAAAAGAGAGAAGCCTGGGAGGCTCCATGCCTACCCACAGCAAGAAATCCACTCAGGTGCAAGTGGATACATGAAGAGAGGACATCATATTGTTTTTACTTCTGTAAAGACAGTACAGGCCTAAAGCTTGCATATCACTTCATCCAGGTAGAAAACACCTTGCTTACTAAAATTATTGATCAAAACATCCCAAAAACCACTTTCTACCACAGCACTGAACAGTGATGAATAATGGATGTGCGTCTACTCTGGGTTACGCTCCAGTAACTAAAATCCGTAATCTAATTCCACTTTGAACTAGAATGGGACTATACACTGAACTATACCTTTTTTGACTTTGTTGCCTAAGGTGATTACAAGCTTTTCAAATTCCCGGTTTGCTTACAAAAGGCTACTGTTACACTAAGTGGTCTCTGCAACAGGGCTGTCAGTCAGCCATGCTCGTCAAACCCAAAATAACTGGTGTCGCCTGGTGGCTCTTCAGGCCCTCCCAAGAGATGACTGATCTGACTCAGGCAAGCACACCCAGCCATTTTCTGTGTTCCATTGACAGACAGTATGTATTTAGTTAGGTTATGCTATGCAGCTGAACTTGCATTTCCTAAAGATAAATCAAAACTTAACTTATAAAGGAAACATGAACTTTGTACACAGAGAAGATTTTAGCTCATCCTTTTAATCTACAGTGTTTACTTGCATCTGTTCTATAATCTAGGATAAGTGATAAAAACAAGCCAGAAAGAAAACCTTAACAGAGATTCTTGTAGATTTGGAAGGTATCTGACATTGCTGCAAGGACATAAAAGCATGCAGGTGAGAAGAAACAAAGCTGACTTTCAAAAATGCACAAGAAGAAATCCTTAAGGTCTTCACGCAATGCCTCCAGATTAACAAAATCCAAAATGCTTTGCTTTGTGAACAAATGTCTTTCTCCATTGCATTGTTCTTCCTCGTACCAGGGACCTCAGGGGTTTGAATACAAGTGAAATGATTAAGTACTTGCTGTGTTTTAGTGCTGCTTTTGGTGATTTTTACCCTATATTTTATTTTCATTGCCTGAACACCAGATCATTAACACGGGGAAATTCAACAGGCTCTTA